GCACAAATTAATGAGGTCTTTTTGTATCTTAAAATCTGCATGTGGTTTTCCTTCCTCCATCTCAAAAAGGATATAGGGGCAGCCTGTTTGTTCAGAGAAATAGGAGTCAAGAAATAAGTATGCTAGAATTAGTCAACCTGAAAAAGTGAAACAACTAAGAGTAGATGTTGGAAGTTGTGACATCATGAATGGTATGCAGAAGGTGCATATTTATTTGTTCACCCTTAAAATAACATTAATTAGGATGTTCAGTGAAATTAATCAAGTATAAAGTACAAGATAGGAAGCACTACTTCATGTAGCACATCATGATACTGCGGGGTTCATTAGCATCGGACTGGTGTGAAGGTCTTTGAAGGGGCTGGGCAGTTCAGTGGATGCTGCTCCTCTATGTTGGGAAATCCATGATTTCTAGAAGCTAGAAAGATTTCTCTATTTACATGCCGCCTAAGTGTTTGTTAAGACAGAGATTAATGAGTAAAATGGACTTTTGGTCCAAGTATGCCATTGCCTCTATTCTCTCAGGCTGCTGAATTTACCTGGTGTGGGAAGTGGTCAGTCCTTTGGCCCCTTATTTGCTTCAGCATTCCTTGCTACCATGACCAGATGTCAGCCTCACTGATGGCTCAGGAACTGTTGTGTAGGTTCAGCTGTCATTGCCAGTGCTGTGAAACCTCACACTGATTTTGGCTAGCAGCAGGTTAGTCTAACATTGGTGTTGATGGTATTGTCTTGCAGTGGCATGTCCTATGTCAGTGTGAGCAGCCTGGGATTCTGTTGATACTTCTTGACCTAGTCAACCTACTTACACAGCTATTTACATAGTTGCAGAGGTGTAATTCTCCTATCTTGCGTCAAGGTCTTTTGGATGAGAAACCGATTGACCTCTTTTGTCATACTCCTTCAATAATTGCTTTCCAAACTATTCCTAGGTAACTTTTTTGTAAGGTTTCCCATAGCGTTGCAAAATGAAATAGTCTTGCAAAATAGTCTGCTAGGAAACTGAGTTAGGTATTAACATATCAATAAGGGCAGAAGAATTTCCGTTCTAGACCTATCTGTTTTCAATAGACCTGTATTTTCTTGCCTGCTCTCACTTGGCATTCTTCTTCTCATTGCTCATTAATTTTACTATTTTTACACAACTCTTATTTTACATGTTTCCTGAAATCACAGAGAGGCTCAGTCCACCCACTCCACCCTTTCCCTAAAAATGCAGTGTGATCAAATTTGCATTAACACCTAGTCAGTTCTCATGGTTGTATGATCCCATCTTCAGTATACATGCAGTGCAGGAAAACTTGGGAGGCAGAGCCGTGAATCACTTTACCACTAAGCAAATATCTGAGTTCAAAAAGTAGCCAGTGGTGGCTTTTTTTTTTTTTTAAAGCCTGTGGAGAGGTGCAGCTCTTCCATCTAGTTGTGTCGGAAAGAAATGTGGTTGCTGAGGACTTCATCATGCCTGCATGTGCTCTGGGTGCCTTTGGGACTACAACTAGAGCTAGCTGCCTTCAGATCATGTCAGAAAACATTTGGCTTCCTGAAGGAAAAATCTGGGAGGATAAGCGAACTGGAGATACAGTATATTGTGGTGTTTTACTTGCTTTGCCAGGCTTTCCATCCCCTCCACTGTAACCACTCATGTAGAACATAATTTGTGACCTTGGCCTCGCTACATGTACAGTAAGTGGGGTTAGCAGTACCTGAGATTTAATGGATTCATTGGAAATTTCTCCTCTGAAGGTCTGAATTTTTTAATTTATAATTTTAAAGCTTTATAGCACAATTAGAAACATAGACTAGTTCAGACTTTCCAAAGTGATATGATGTGGTTTGGAATTGCCAAAGCCTGCCAAGTATTTATGCTGAGTTTAATGATGGTGTCCGGAACACCTTGTTGGTTGGATTTTATTTTTACAAAAAAAAAAAAAAAAAAAAAGAAGAAGAAGAAAAACTACATCCATTCCAAACAAGAAGTGTCAGATTTTGGTTTTGGAAGACAGGTGGGTTCACAGACTCTGACTAGTACTTTTAGCCTCTAGCTAAACAGGCTGTACAACGTATCTTCTTGCACATAGATGTCAAAGGAAAGCAAGCCATCTGATTCTTTGGCTCCTTTAGGCTTTATTAACCTTTGTTGGTAAAAGGACTGTATTATGTTTAGTCTAAACTTGGCTTGTCTTTTGAACTTTTTCTCTTTTACTTGTCTCTAGTGTTTTGGATTTTCAACTATGTGTGAGTATCTAGCTCACTCTTCTGTATTTCACCACAGTTGTGTTGGGGGCCCTACTAAACAAACAGTCCCACAATCCTGTCAGCCCTATAGTGTATTGCATGTGTCCTTGCAGCACAGTATTTCAGGTTATAACTTTTCAGTGAATAGTATTTTTTAAACTCCAAACTTACACAGTTACATTGTATTTTACAGGGTGGGGAGAGAGGTGTGAGAGAGAGGAACATCCCCTCCCAGGTAGGAAGCTGTAGAGGGGAAAGTTATCTGTATTGTTAGAGTATTTTTTGGTTGTCTTATGCCACGATGGCATAGTGGTTGCTGTCATGGTCAGCTCTTAGTCACTATCCCACCTTCCAAAGACAGAGCTTTGGAACAAAAATTCTTAACTAATACTAAACTTCATAAGCTCTGCAGAGAAACTGCTTATTGCATATTATTACTCCTCCCATCCACACACAGACTTAAACTTTTTCACATTCAGCAGGTACAAAATCTCTCCCTCTCCCTGTACATCTCTCCGAGCTACTTTGTTTTTATTCCACCCCAGCCCAAAATCTTACTGATGCATGTCTAGTTCATGTGAAATAATTGTTCTTAATGGTTTCCTACTTTGTGTGCTGTTTCGGAGCTAAGCAAGAGTTAATATATCTGAAAACTTGTCTACGTTTTCGAGCTAGATAAAATGATTTACTAGAAGATGAAGTCTACCTGTAAACCTTTCATGTCTCTCCAGTGATAGGTCACAGGCAGCTTAGGTAGTTTGCCTGCGTGGGTGTGATACATAGTTCTAGTTATCCTGGAGTAGTTGACACGGTATCTTCTGAGTAGCACAAAATAGTGTGAACTCACTCATTGTTAGTGGGGGAGTTTCTTTAGGCAGGATTATGTCCATATTGGCAGTTGTACATAAATAATGGATTAAGGAGACATCCACTGTTTGCCACTTCTTTGTCTGTCATATTGGCATTGTGTTTCTGATGGTTAATACTGTGCTCTGCTAAACTCGTCATTACCCGTTTTTCCATCCTTCACCACAGACTGCTTTGATTTTGATCAGAGGAAAATGGTGTGACAATGGTGGAAATACCAATGGTCAGAAAAAGGCAGCAAGAATGCTAATGAAAAGTTTTACTATGGATCTCCAGTCTCAGAGGTGAAATGTCTGAGATCATTGAGTGATGCTCTGTTCCGAAATGCGATCGGGGAAAAGCCAACATCGTCCTGATCTTCCTCTTCCTACCTCTGTCCTTCGAGTCATGTGTATTATCCACGTGTACTTAAATTGTTTGTGTTTAGTCCCTGAATGCTTTCTGACTGTATCAAGTTGTGGGAAAAACGCCTTTGCTGTCGGTGACGTCACTAACCATGGCGCTCCTCGCGGCTGTGTCCCTGGCAGGTGGTGGGTGGGGTACCCCTGCAGTAAGGCCTGGATGTACGCTGAGCTGCGTGCCCCAGGCTGGGCTCTCGTGGGTCTCTGTTGACTGAAGGAGACGGTCTCTGACTGTGGAGCCTCTGGAAGACGCTGAGGCAGCTCCCAGCATTAATCTCGCTGTGGAATGGGCTGGCAGAAGGGTCAGGTGCAGCACACTTCCAGGCCCCTCCTTTCTCCTTGTGTACATTACAGTGGGGCAGGCGAGTCCTCGCCCTTCTTTTTACTATCTGCCTCTTGCTCTCTGGAAATAGGAAAGGTTGCAGCAAAGCCTGAATGCAAGTCAGAGGCCCTGCGCTGCCATCTCCCATTCTTTCCTCCCTGACCTTCCGGAGCTGCCGGCTTGGACCACGGGAACCCCAGGAGGGCAGCGTCTCCCCACTCCTGGCCCCGGCTGCTGGCTTTGCCGGGCCCAGCCCTGCCTTGCTTTCTCACCTCTCTCCGTCTCGGCTGGGCTGCAGCACCCTGACGGAGGCAGCAGGACCTTTCCGAGGGGCCGGGCCCGAGCAGGCTGGGCGAGCAGGGCAGCCATGCTCGGTCTCGCTGCGCCCCAGCCCCACTCCTGGAGCTGGGGCTGCGTGCCGCCCTCACCTCCGCCAGGTACACGGGTCTGGGTGTGGAGGGTTAGCCCCATGGGGCTGGGGGGCTGGCTGGGCAGTTGGCATCCTCCCTGGTCCTCGGCCTCGCTCACCCTCTGCTGTGGTGAGAACTGGAAATAGCTACCCTGCTCACACTGCTGAGAGCTTACCTGTGCCTTTTGGGTCCTGCAAGCGTTTCTGTAAGTACAGTGAGTTTTGTGTACTGCAGCTGATTGAAAAGGTCTTCTGAACAAGCCTTGTGCTTTCCAGTGCTTGACTGTATACTATATGCATGCATGTTTTGCCGGACTCTTGGCATACATACTTTTACCTTCAGAGTTTAAAATAGTATTTAAATATGACGTACTGGTGGTGAAGTGGTGATTAATCACTGTTTGTTGTGGTTGTACCAATGCAGTATCAGTGCGTACATTCATCTGCTGGTTTCTACCTCAGCTCATCACACAAAATACTTGTATCCAACAGCTGAATTGTGTAGGAATCACGGAGAAAAACATGGGAGTAGTTCTGTATCAGTGTGCTCTCATGTATGTATTACTCTTGCAGAGTTCCTGAATGACTACCAAACCTGCTGTACTTGATGAAGTTTTGCTTGCCTTGCAATGCAATTTTAAGGCCTAATAGATATTTTTGATGTGTCCTCTTGTTCCTGTTCGCAGCTGCAGATCTCTTTCAAACCATGTTGATAGGCAAACATCTTGAAGGTCAATTACTTGAATAATTTTTTTTTTCTCCTTAGATGACAATCAAAACAAAACCAATGAAAAGAAAGAGAAAAAAATGGTTTCTCAGAAACCCCATGGTACCATAGAATATACTGTAAGTATTGGTGTGTGCTTTGTTCATGTCTGCATTTTGAAAGTGGAGTTGTTGAGGTCGAGAGGGAGCCAGTGTCACAAAACTGAAAGCACTAGGTGAATACTGGCTGCAGTTTGTACCCCTCTCAATAGGGATTGCTCCAGATATCATTGTGTGGGGAGAGCTAGGCTGACGTCCTGAACCACTGTTCAACCCAGGTCCTCTGCCTCTTCTCGCAGCTGTCAGTCCTATTTTTACTGCTGCACAATGGCTCTGGAGTAGAGCAGTCAGTTTTCATATTCTGAAAAATACTTCCATTCCACAGTGTTGCTTAGGTCATCAAGTAGTTGGCCTGTGCTTGATCCTGAGATGACGTGAGACCTCTTTCTCTAAGCTGGAGCAGGGCAGCAGTGTGCTGCTGTGGTGGCCCGGAGGACTGGCTCTGCCCGGAAAGTCTCTGTGTGAGCCGGCCAGGTCCCTGAGCAGGGGCTGCACCCCACCTTCCATCACGCGGAGGGACTGTGGAAAGCTTGTGCCTCAGCTGGGGGCAGCACAAATGCCTGACGTGCTGCGACTGCTGAAGGTGTAATGAACTTTCCAGTGTGCGTCCTTTCTGCACTTGCCAGACCAGTTCTGAATAAGGTGATGCTGCTTTAAAGTTTTAGGAGAAAAGGAAAGGGACATCTGTAACACCTCTCCATTTTATCTACTGTATAGCATGAGAGAATTTTTTTTTTTAATTGATGTTTGCTTCGCCTGTAAGCTATTAAACAGGAAGTGTGTTGGGATCATCAAATCTGTTCCCTGCAAACAGTCTATTAGATGGTTTTAGTTCAGCTGGTGTGCTGAATGTGTTCACTATGGTATCTTAAGCTTCAACTCTTTCTTCAGGCTGGAAATCAGGACACCATAAACAGCATAGCATTAAAGTTTAACATCACCCCAAACAAGCTTGTGGAGCTCAATAAGCTTTTCACGCAGACGATTGTGCCAGGCCAGGTAAGTCTTTTATGTTTTTTTTTTAAGATGTGAAACCTGATTATTTGCTGTGTATCTAAAAGCTTTTCACTACTTTCACATATCTTTTAGGTACTTGGATACAAGGATAATGGACAGTAATTTAAATCCCTCAAAGGGGAACTCACTAGATCATTACCTGGAGTTGGGGGAGGGAGCTTTTTAATTGCTATATCTGACTTCTGTTATTTATTTACTGTCATTAAAGCTTAAAGATGACTCTGAAGCTCAAGAGGGTAATGTAGCTGTTCCAACAGAGTCGAATTCTTGAACAGCCTAGATAAATGCTCTATATAATACATTAAAGAATTAGAGAGTTAGGTACAGTAATTGAAATGGCTGTTTGCCATTATATTGAGGATGAGCCAGTCTCCTGTAAGATGGGAAATAAATGGAGATAGACTATTTTTGGGAAAGGCAGGTAATGGAAATGCAAATGTGAAGGCCAACACCTCGTTCACGAAGCTCAGATCTTTATTTCTGCTTCACAGACACGAAGAAATTGAAGTATGCATATTTGCAGATGGGGAAACTGAGGCACAAAGAGATGGTGCGACTTGCTAAGAATACCCAGCAAACAAAAGCTGGGATAAGCAAAATGGTTTTATTTTTCTGAACTTTTTTAGTTTAAAACTAAACTGTGAACTTTTTTTTTTACTTTAGAAGTATCTTTCTTTGCTCTGACAGTTACAGCAAATGGATCTGTGTTTTTATTTGGGGTGGAAGTCCAAAGCTGTACTGCACTTTTAGTACTGCTGTACTAAAAATCTTGGATGTTCACTGTGAGCGAATGTGAAAATTCAAACAAAGCATTATGTTTTTTAGACAGTTATATTAGTGTAAAGGTTTGGTTTTAAATGTAGTACATGATGCTAAAATGCTGGTTCATATAAGGAATATTTTCTTAAATTTAGAGATGCAAGTATGTTTTTGGAAACAGACAACCTGTAGCAAAGTGTTACAAACTTTAAGCACTAAAAATCCCCAATGTTCAACAATAGCCTTCTCTTTGGAACAGTTTGCTGTTACAAGTTAATGACTGTTAGTAGTCATTTTACAGTTACTTGTTTTGTAGTTGTCATAGTTGTAAGTCAACCTGGTGTTGTAACTTTGGGGAAAGAAAGGAGGTTTTCATTCTGTGGAAAATGTTTTATTTTCTTGCCTGTGCTGCAAAAGAGAATGAAGAGCTAGATCCTGTAATTAATTAGACCTGGATGGGCTCTGCATTGCCACCTATGAAGAAAGACTCCAGAATAAGTAGTTGTTAAGGAGTGTATTGCAATCATGAGTAACCAATATTGGGTTGTCTTTCTAGTAGAACATAGTGTTTATAGTGAGTAACTTTTTAAAGCTTGTGTCTTACTGTTTTGACATATGTGTTTGTATTTAGATTCTCTTTGTTCCAGAAACAAGTGCTGCGAGGCTGTCTTCTTTCAGTACCGGTGCTCACGTTTCTCCTTCATCATCAGATGCCGAATATGATAAACTCCCTGTAAGTCAAACATTGGTTCACTGGTCTTACGCTCACAAAATAATTTCTGATTCTGAAGCTGAGATTCAGAGCTGTGTAAATAGCAGTTTTTTGAGGTTACAGTTCAGCTGTTGTATGTAGTGTTGTTAGTACTGAATAACATTAATTTCAATTTGCTGTGCTAAATAATTTACCATCTCTTTAAAATATGCCACATTACGGGAATTTTGTCTGAGCGTAGAAACCCAGTACAAGTTCAGGTGGGCCCAGAGTCTTATCAAAGCAATTGAAAGTGGTGTAGTGTGTAGTTTCTAAAAGAAAGTTAAATAGGAAGAATTATTTAGCATTTCACCCTGGAGATTTCTGTGCTGCTCTGCAGTCCAGAGCCTTGATTCTGCACTACGATCCTTGAGCATGGAGGCTGTTAGTTGAGTCTGAGCAGTCAGTTTCTTTCTAGTTAAGCGTATTATGGTGGTACCCATATATAGACTTGTCTTATATAGACAAGGTCTGCTGGATTTAATCTGTGTGAAGGGCCTTGGCGTAGCTGATCTTTCATTTTCCTTAGAAGGGTGGTTGGCCATGATGATTTTAGATGGTAGTTTTAGGGCGTTTAGCTGTCATTGATGTTAAAGCAGTTAGACATTTCAAATCCATAACTAATGAAAAGGAAAGTGGAGAGAAGCCTGGAGTGAATAACTGTACTACCTTAACCTTACACCTCTGTGCCACCTGCATTGGGAATCACACCAGCGCACTGTGTGCAGAGGTCTTCAGTGTAGATGAGGTGGCAGGACTAGCCCTCTGTTAATGAGAGTACCTCACTGAAATTTGGTGAGCTGACTTGCCTTGGCATTTTTTAATTTCTTGCCTGTTATTTGTATAGAGGTTTTTCGTAATGTTAGGAGCTTTTTCTTCCATACAGGATACTGTAGGAAGTTTATGTATGTATGTATATACATGACTGCCACTTTTCTTCCTTAAGCAAAGGGAAAATAGCTGATTGAACCTGGCCTTTTAGTTGCCCAAAATCTAAAAGTATATGTTTCTGGTCCTGTTGCTCTGCACTGAACTTTTTCTTTTTTTAAGGATGCTGATTTGGCAAGAAAGGCCTTAAAACCAGTTGAGAGAGTTCTGTCATCTACTTCAGAAGAGGATGAGCCTGTGGTTGTTAAATTTTTAAAAATGAATTGTCGTTACTTCACCGATGGTAAGGTAGGTGGAACCTGGCTGTTAAGCATTGTTTGAGATTCTTTAAAAGTAAAATCTGTTTGGATAAGTGGGAGATGAATACTGGGAGAGTCAAATATGCTCCACATTTGTAAAGAATGTAAATGTTTGGTGGCTTTATGTACCACTGCTGTGTTTATTGGTACCATGATGATAATGCTGTATCATTTTGTTCTTTCAGTTATTTAATCTGTTATGATAATTGCATTATGAAAGAATACCCATCTTCATTCTCTTACCATGTCTTACCAGAATTATCTCTTTAAGAGTGTATTGCTAGATACACAGGCAAAACTGCACTTTAGAGTTGTGACATATCAGGATTAGTTGTCCAGTTCCATCAAATTTTGCAACAACTTTATAAAACAAGCACACGCCTATCTATCTCATTTATGACTTTAAGCTAAATTTTAACTGTTTCCAGGGCAGTGTTTCCAAATTTGGCCATGATGCTTCTCCACTTGCTAATGAATGTCATGCAAACTCTAATAAAAAGATAAATATTGCATGATATGACCTTTTCTTTCTTTTTCTTGCAAGTGTTCTTATAACATACAAGTTCCCACTGGGACTGAAACCCTAAGTTTTACAGCAGCTGTTTTAGAAGTGAAGGCATAAAGCTTGGGCAGTATTTTAGCCCTCTTTTCTTCTCAAGGTTGCAAGACACTGTTGTCTTGAACTGTCTAGTTTGAAATATCTACTCCTGTTGACTCTGATTTCAGTTAGATGTCTGCATGTTTGGCTTTTCAAGTTCTCTGGTATTTATAATACTGGAGATGCTAACCATTGTAGTTTAAACAGATTTTTCCCTTAGTCCTGACTTCTGTAAGATGAATGTGTTTACACCTACAGTGTTTGGCTTCTGTTCACATTGAGTGGATGTAGGCTGCATTTAACCACTCTGCAATTTTTTAGTCTGCTGTTCTGTAGAAAGTAGTAGAGGGCTACTTTGTCTTGCATATAAATTAGGGCAATACTGTCGCTTTGTTATGTGATGCTTGCTATGTGCAGAGGATACAGATTGCCAATTTTATGGCTGTAGGACTGAAAAAGTAATTTGCAGTCAGAACAATCAAAAGTGGGATGGCTTCTTTGCCAGTGTAGCTAAAATCCCTTGTTGCCTTGCTTCCTTCAGTGGCTGGCTGGGAAGTACAGGCTACTATTGCTCTTCTGGCTAAATAGTGTTACATACCTGTGAAAGTAGCCTCTGCACTTGGATTCTGATTCTTTCATCCAAACACAAACCAGGCTTGTGTATGTGAGTCATACAGAAGCAAATGGGAAGTACATACAGACTTTGCTTTACAAAGGAGTGGGCCCACTTGCCAGTGCCAGGCCATCAGCTTGGCATCTCCCTGATTTTAAAAAAAAAAAACAAAACAAAAAACAAAAAACAAACAAACCGAAAACAAGCAAACCAAGCTTGTGGTTCTTTACCTGCCTATTTGTTAGCCTTCCTTGACTTGCCTTGCACATGACCTTGGATAATGAGTAGTATCTACAGTGTGGGTCATTCCTGTTGATCGGCGGCTCCTGTTTGTCAGATGTCATGATTTATGCACAGCTTTGGAGTTGGTCTGGTGAATTTTGTAGCAGGAGGAAGACCCTGGAAATCTCCTTTTTAAACCGTGAAAAATGGTCAGTTGCCATAGGTTGAATGCTGAATAATGGCTGATGCAGCCTCTTACTGAATCTGTGGCTAGTGTACTTTTTGAAGAATTAAATGCATCTTCTATGGCTGTGCAAAATATGCTTGGATCAGTGGTAGAAGCTGCTTCCAGACTGGGAAGAAGCTGTTTCATATCAGGTCCCTATATATAGAAGCTTTTTGCATGTAGCTCTTGGAGAGTAGATCAAGGAGGCCTGTAATGTAGCTTAGCATAGTAACTATGACATTTCCATGAGTAGGATTGCCTTCAGGTGCGCTGGTTGCATGTAAATTCATGTATTGTATGAGGGTGGCTGCATCTAGAATAAAATTGTACTTTTTTTTTTTTTCAAAACCACTAACCTATTTTGTCAGAGATTTGATTACCAATCTGCAGTTTTAGCTTGTAGCAGACAGCACTGGAAATTGAATAGTTCACATGTTCTTCTTCCTTATCAGCCAGGAGCTTGGGTGTCACTAAGTAACGTACTCTCCTTACAGTATCTGACTTGACACGGTTTGAAACCAAAATATTTCATTAGTAAACATTGCATGATGGGGTATAAAGAGGCAGGAGAGAGGTTTTTCTTTTTAGGCCAGTAGCCAAAAATCCAATTCCAAATGATAAATTAATTACTTGTGATATGCTAACTCTTCCTTCTCCTATTTTAGGGTGTAGTTGGAGGGGTCATGATAGTAACTCCAAACAACATCATGTTTGACCCACATAAGTCAGATCCTTTGGTGATTGAGAATGGCTGTGAAGAATACGGGCTCATCTGCCCCATGGAGGAAGTTGTATCGATAGCTCTCTACAATGATATCTCTCACATGAAGATTAAAGACGCATTGCCATCGTAAGGAGTGTTCTTCCCTGAACTTACGTTTACAGATTTTTCAGTAAGGGTCATGGAAATGGGGGTAGAGTTTTAATGCAGCAGAATAAAACAAACCAGGGGAGGAAAGTGCCACCAAAGGAATGATTCATTTGTGCTGTTCTTTGGCTTTCTTTTCAGAACACTTCAGTGGCAGTAAAGAGAAATGGGTCATGAATATGGGAACCACAGTGCAAAGGAGATCAGTAACAGTAATTAAAAGCATTGGTGGCATGCCATGGTTGGGCTCTTGCACTGCCCGGTCTCTTGGGTTATTTCAGTGGAAGTGAGGAGGGTTAGATTTGGACCATTTGCTGTAGACTGTTGTGAGAGGAGTATTTAGAACTTTAGATTATAACAGCACCTTAACTGCCATCTTCAGGTCTTACAGAAATACCAGTCTGTGGAATACTTCCACTTAAGAACCAGGAATGTGTTGGGAGTTAGGATTTGTAATGCGTAACAGACTTTCTGGGGGGTTACTTTCATTTATAAGTAGTCTAGGCACTGCTTATATATTTGTTCTAAGCAAGTTTGTCCTTGTAGGCAACACCTGTTTGATCAATGAAATTCATCTACTTCTCTCCCATTTTCTCACTTCAGGAAAAACTTTCTGGATACTTGCTTTATGCTCATTACTAGAGTATCTAGTAGCTTCCTAGTAACTTTTTAGTGATGAGAATCTTGTATTCTCATTTACCTCAGACTTTTTAGCAGTAATTAACAGCTGAAGTTCTATGTTGTTAAGTTTTTAAGAATTTTCCATTTTGAAATTTTTTAAAGCAGGACAATTATAGAATGAAATCTTCGGGCAAGTCTGCGTTCAAACAGTACATTTGAGTAATGGGGAGAAAAAGAAAAGGAAAAAAACCCAACTCTGTTGCTTGTTACTGTTTTTGCAGTAAACATGTTCAAACAGGGGTACGGCTTATCTCCAATTTGCGCTCTTCTCGAAAGTACATTTGTACTGACTCCTTGTCAGGTGTGGGAAATAATAATATTAATATGGTATGAATCAAATTCCAGCAGCTAAATACATGTTCTGTAGTTTTTTAGTTACTGAACTTCTGATGACTTGCACATTGTTGTTACCTGTGTACCATTTCTTCACCCATGTGGCGTATTCTGCCAGGTGGTTTACTCATTTTTTTTCTCGGTATTATCCTTTCCCCATTTTTCTCCATTTTCTTTAGTCACTTATTTCCACCGATGTATGTTTATTTTGGAGAAAGTAATTTTTTGTTGAGTTTCAGAGCTTAAGTTAAGTTGGTATATTATTTATTTTTTTCCTTTTAATTTTTTTTTTCCGTTTCCATTTTGCTTTTAACATTCTATGTACATCCATCATTTTCCCTGACAGTGACATACCAAAGGATCTTTGTCCTCTGTACAGGCCAGGAGAATGGGAAGACCTATCCTCTGAGAAAGATATCAATCCTTTCAGCAAATTCAAATCACTTAGCAAGGAAAAGAGGCAGCAGAATGAGGATCCATCCATTGCTCTGGGTGCCAAACAGATAAAGCCTTCAGATAAGGAGAAGTCTGCTGATTTTGAAGTTCTTCAGTCATCTGAGAGTACAGGCTCAATCAAATCAAAGTCGCTGGAGTTTCCCAGCAACATCACTGCCACTGAACATTTGGAAAAGTTTGCTGCAGATCCATGTGCCAAGAAGCCTTCTGGAGAAAAGAATGCTTCAGACATCAAAACCAAAGAAAAATCTTTTTTGGGAGAAGGAGAGGATGACTTCATTGAGCTGGAAAAGACATCATCTCGTATGGATAGAGGGTTGGGCAGGAAAATCTCAGTAATGGAAGGCTTGCTGGCTGACCCCAGGGAGTTGGGGAGAACTAAGCAGCAGGTAACCAAACCCACTACAGAAGTCCAGGAGCACTTGACAGTTGATTCCTTGGAAAAAAAGGACAGTGTTGAACCTAAAGCTGACTTAGACTTAGAGCTGTGTGAAAAACAAGATGTTATTCCAGAAGTAAACAAATGTGTCAGTTCCCCGACAGGTAAGGTGGAGACTGCATTGGACACTAAGAAAGAGCTAGAGAAAGATAAACTTATTGAATTTTACCTCAATAAAGATGGGAATGGGTCTCAGTCATCTGAAGACTTACACAAGGCTGAAATCCAGAAAGGTGAAAACAATAAAGCAATTGGCATAGACCTTACACTTAGCTGTTCAAAGTCCCAAGCTAATGAAGTCCATACAGTTAAAAGTATGGAGCTTGATTCCTGCTGTGTTGGAAGGAAAGCACCTTCATTAGAAATCAGCTCAGCAGCAGCAGAGGAAAAGGATCTGAAAGAGTCTGTGGACTCTTCATTAGTACCAACTATAGACAAGACCTGTCAAGAAACACAGTTAGACAATCAATCAGAAATCAGACTGTGGCTGCTGCAGAAAATTCAAGTGCCAATTGAAGGTAGGTCTGTGGTTATCCTTGTTTCCTCTGAGACTTGGACAGCATTATGACGGTAACCTTTGAATTGATAGCCTTCTGCTCTAAATTTCCTCTTTCTATAATACCTGGTCTTTTATCTTTTTTACTCTTGTATATGATATTTTTATATTATCTGCTATTTAGAAGAAAAAAAAAAACAAACTTCAAATTCCATAAGCTGATATTTTGATAAGTAGCTTGTGTGCTCTTTCCATATTCAGTGATCACTGTTTATATAATGTTCACTTCTGTTTACTGGCTTTAGGAAGGACAGTGAAATGTCATCCAGTTGCAGTATTGACAGGGACATTTCATGGCCTAGGAATTGTCACTCCATATTGGTAACTTTTGTTGCTTCAGTGAAGTCTGTCTGTATTTCTAATACTATCCAAACTAGTAGTGCATTGCTATGAAGGGTGGGTACCAAAGTATTCTTGACACTATTTGCATTTGTCCAGTGTCTTTCATGCTGTGGAAACCCTTAAAGGAGTGATAAATAGGAATATATGTAGGGTCTTAACTGACTGGTCATTTTGTCCTGATTATCATAAATTCAGGCTGTTACTGGAAAGTAAGTAACAAAATGAAATCTCAGCTTAGGTAGTGTGTACACATAGTACTATTTCTGCTACAGCCCAGTGCCTCTAAGCACTAGTCCATCCTGGAGCGCTGATGCTCCCCTCGTCATAGTTTAATGAACCAGTGGACATACCCTTGATTCACATCAGGTGGTGGGGGCTGACTAGAGTTGAAGTCTTTATTTTAAAAACAGTTGTTCTTAAAATGATTTTTCCTTTCTTTTGGAAAGGTTTATATCTCACTAATTGTATTTGGTGATCATCCTCATTGAGGAAGGGG